TTCCCACGAACAATTATCTATAAATAATGTACATGTAGGCTTTCTTGCTAATTTTAGCAATTTACCATATTTTTTATGATATTATTCTAATAATTTTGAACTTATTATTAATATATAGCGCAACTCAAGGGTTTCCAATTAATTATTCTAGCTTAATTTCTAACCGAGCTTGGATATCTTTTGGATCTGGTTGCAATCAACAAGACAACAGGGGTCGACAAGGAGGAGAAGGGTTTATACCTTGGATTGATTTGAATTTAGGGTAATATTCCACTTTTTCCTTTTCTTTCGTCATCTTATTCTTCTTCTCTTCTTTTTTAACCCTAATTTCTTCTCATTTCCTCCCTTTTATCTTACTGTGAGGCGGTGAGAAACACCGACATGGAGAGGCAATGGGGAACAGTTAAATGAGTTTTTTTTAAAATTCGGGGTTATTACACTCACCTAATAAAAAGTTTCGTCCTTGAAACTTAACATACATTAATCTCCAAAGAGCTTTGGATATTTCTCTTGCATAGAATCTTCTATTTTCCAATTAGCTTCTCTTTCTGCATGGTTCTTCCATTGTACTTTCACATATTTGATGGTTTGACGTTTAAGTACTTGTTCCTTAAAATCCACAATGCGCTCAGGTTTCTTCTCATGAGTCAAGTCAGATTTGAGCTCCACTAAAGATAATTCAATTATCTCATTTAGATCTTGGATGAACTTTTGTAGCATCGATACGTGAATTACGTTATATATTCCAGATAGAGATGATGGTAACACTAATTTATACAACAAATCTTGGGCTTAACTTCTCTTGGATTTCAAATCTTTTCACTCATCAGGTAGGCGAAACCTTTAAGAAGACACGATCGTCCACCTGAAATTCTAATTCTCTTCTTCTTTGGTAAGCATAACTCTTCTGACGACTTTGTGCAGTGCGAAGACGTTCCCGAACTAGTTGAATTTTATCAATTGCTTGCTGTACCAATTCTAGTCCAAGAAGTTTTTTTGCTCCAACATCGTCCAAATAGATAGAAGACCTGCACTTCTTTCCATAAAGAAGTTCATACAGGGCCATCTGAATACTAGTCTGATAGCTGTTATTATATAGGAAGGCGTTCCTGATTTTTTTCTCCCCAACGTCCTGACTTGCATTTGCCACCATCCATAAGCACGATCTTTTCGCATGTAGACCGCATAATTAACCATTTTCTTTTCAGGACATTTCATATATGTGAAGACTTTTCCATTTCAGTGATCCAATGTTCAACAATCATCGGATCAGTAGTCCTCAAAACCGGGTGGGGATAATTTTTTGAATTCACTCATTCTGCCCTTTAATTTTGATTGTTCATTGTTCTGGCTATTCATCTAATTGTGATCGATTTGGTCTTGCTGTCGGGTGATTATAGATGTCATTGTTTGCAGTAATCCTATTAATGTGCTGCTGTCTACTTGGCTCCCTAAGGTTGACGCATGAGTTTAGGGCTAATCATGGTTCGGTCCAAACCGAAAAAACCGACCGAACCGATCCGAAAAAATCGGTTTTATGAGTAGGGTGGTTCGGGTCGGTTTGAAAACTTTTCAACTCGAACCGACCCGAACCGATCGAATATAGTGTAATACTACCCATTCTGATCTCAAACACCACCCGACTCGTCTTCAAAGAGTCAAAGACTCAAACTCTAAACTCATTTTCTGGATCATTATGAGTTAAAACAATATCATTATATCAGTGTTTAATGCTTCATAATCTCCTACGTTGTTGATATTTTTTTTTCTTTAACACAGTTTGTTGTTTGATAAGAAGTTTGATGAAGTTAGAACCGAACAAACCGAACCGAACCGCACCGAACCAACTTGCAACAGTTCGGTTCAGTTTTGAATTATAGACGGTTCGGTTGTTCAAATTTTGGTAAAAACCGAACCGCACCGACCGTTGCACACCCCTTTACTCTAGATCTTATTATCTCACTTATTGTTTGGTTGAGATCGTTATCTTTGTGCGAAGGGCTTTGTACAAAAGACAATTTATAAGATAGTCACAAATACACAAGTCAAGAAATTATAATCTCAATCATTGTTTAGCAACATAGCATAAATCAGTAGTTACAAGCCAAAAATATATTATTAATATTTAACCTTTTAGTTCATACACATATACAAGTATATGGGTTTACATATATACATGTTTGTTGATATTTTTTTTTCTTTAACACAGTTTGTTGTTTGATAAGAAGTTTGATGAAGTTAGAACCGAACAAACCGAACCGAACCGCACCGAACCAACTTGCAACAGTTCGGTTCAGTTTTGAATTATAGACGGTTCGGTTGTTCAAATTTTGGTAAAAACCGAACCGCACCGACCGTTGCACACCCCTTTACTCTAGATCTTATTATCTCACTTATTGTTTGGTTGAGATCGTTATCTTTGTGCGAAGGGCTTTGTACAAAAGACAATTTATAAGATAGTCACAAATACACAAGTCAAGAAATTATAATCTCAATCATTGTTTAGCAACATAGCATAAATCAGTAGTTACAAGCCAAAAATATATTATTAATATTTAACCTTTTAGTTCATACACATATACAAGTATATGGGTTTACATATATACATGTTTTCCTACCAAAAAGTCATATATACACCAAAAGAGTAGCTAAAGAACCAGAATTGGTACAACAAGCAATTGATACAATAAGCACGATTTTCTATATACATACATGTTTTCCTACCAACGTCCTGACTTGTATTTGCCACCATCCATAAGCACGGTCTTGCTAATGGATACAAGCATATGGGTTTACATATATACGTTTTTTCCTACCAAAAAGATCGTGCTTATGGATGGTAGGAAGAAAAAAATCATGCTTATGGATGATGGAAAAAATATATTATTAATATTTAGCCTTTTCCTCTTCGGTGTTTCTCACCGCCTCACAGTAGGATAAAAGGGAGGAAAGTGGAAGAAATTAGGGTTAAAAAAAGAGAGAAGAAGAAGAGAAAGATGAAGAAGACAGTGAAAGAAAAGGGGAAAGTAGAATATTACCCTAAATTCAAATCAATCCAAAGTATAAACCATTCTCCTTGGTTTTCTTTGATTTTAAGGAATTGATCTTTGATTTCCTGAGAAATTAAGAGGAAAAATACATCGTCGACCCCAGCAACCGACGAGCTTCACGATCAAGAGGTCACCCAAAGGTGGGGCAGGGACATAGGCGGGCTACGTCTGAGCAGCTGCAGAGGGAAGAGAGAGAGAGAGAGAACGGGAAAAAAATGAAGTGAGAAAGGGGGAACGAAGGAAGCAGAAAGGAAAGAGGGGAGAGAATGGGGAAAAATAAATTAAAATAATAAATTTCTTTGAAACTCTTGAAAGTTTATTAGTTTGTATATAGGTCCAAAAGATAAAAAGGGAATGAAAATATTCTTGTAGACCCCTGTTGCTTTGTTGATTGGAGGTGAGTTCATTTCCCACTAGTATTTTTTTATATAATAAAATTTCCATGAGTGCTATATTTGATTTGATTTTGTGCTCGATAAATAAATAATCTATTATTTTTTTGTGTATATATAAAGTTAAATGTGATTCGATCTATTCTATTATAGCATAACATATAATATGATTTGATTTCATACAAGATATTAAAAGTAAATTAGATTTCACATAAAATGTGATAAACGGTTTTGGTTTCATGCGAACTCAATTAATTGTGAATAATGCTTATTGGAAAGGTTTTGAAGAAAAATTTATAATAATTTGAAGGTGTAATGGTAACAGAGCAGTTGCCAGCCGAAAGTGTGGAGTTAAGTGCTATACGGGGCTAAGTGCTACACCACATGGATACGGTGGGAGCCACCTCTGGAGCCTGTAGGAGCCACCTCCAGAGTCCACATCGCCGGACAATGATACTGGGATGTACCAATTGTAATGTCTTGATGACGAGGACATCGTCTTTATAAGGTGGAGTGATTGTGACACCCCATTTTAGTCCCACATGGACTAGTGTGAAGAAATATTAGTGGTTTAAATAGAGAAAAACCCAAGACCTAAGAACAACCAGTGCTAACATTTTGACAATGGATTTTAGCCAACACCGAGTTGATCTCGGTGGGTCTCACGGCTTGCACGCTCTAATTGGGACTCCAATACTAGAATGAAGCATGGGAGGGCACACACCTTATATTCGCTCTAGATTCCTGATACAAGCTCGTGCTTGATCTCTGGAGAAGCGATCATCTGTTGCATGATTTCTTGGCAAGATATTGTCTACTGGAGAACAGCCTCTTCCTGAATACTTTATGAGAAGCCACTCTACCTAATACAAGGCCCTTTATCTTCCTCCAACCTACTCCATGGAATCTCTTTGTGAAATATTACATCTTAAATCATTTTACTCTTCAAGAAACTCTGGATGACAATATACCTTAAATTGGCTCTTATCTGTTAGTAATCTAACCCCTGATAACAATATGTCGCTCGGTCTAGCCTAAACTGTCTTGATGAGAAGTATGATCAGTTGAAGTATACTAGCCAGTTATCTGTCCAAGCATTCACCTCCTAATTTTCATCCTTCAATGGATGTATCCTCCATATATTCGACTATTTAAGCCATGTCGGAAAATGCTATATAAATTATTTGATGTAACCTGGTAAATAAGATGGTACATAGATTCATTTCATTTTAAATTTATAATTTGTTTAGTTTAAAGAAAACAACGATGTCATGTTAGTTTTTGAAAATTTTTGATGGTATCAGAACTACTTGCATGTCAAAATGTTTTTGCAGGAAAAATAACAGTTTTTTATTTGGAATTTGTTTTCGTAGCTTGGCTATCTACCTTTTTAGTTGTATCCCTATTATAAGACTGAAAAAACAGCTGGTAATTTATTTCATGTCATTTAAATTTACAGTAAACTGGTTTAAAGAAAATATCAAGATAGTTGACCTTTGAATATTTTATGTGTACTTATCTTGTAACTCGCTCAAGTACACTTATCCATCTGATGTAGGTATTAGATCTGGCAGTATCTCTTGCCAAAGTAGCTGATTTGGATAGGAATCTCGGCAATGAGGATGAAGCCATTAGTGGATTTCAGGAAGCTATTGAGCACCTAGAATCATTAAAGTTGGATTCCAATGAAACTGGTCTCGAACAGAGGGTAATTATTTCAACTGCTTTTGCTACTCAGGTTTGCATGCATATTCTTTATGGTGCTCATCTTCCTTGTATTTGTTTCAGCGCCATTCAGTTTTGGAGTTCCTACAGAACCAACTTGCTGAAAAACAAGAATCCGCTCCTGTTTCTACTGTGTGATATAGTGCACGGGGTCAAATAGATGTATTATATGCCTTGTTCTTGCTACCATTATATCAGTAATAATGAGGATGAATGAGGCATGGAGTGTTGTTTGGGCCCCTTAAAATAGATGTTGCGACATTTGTGTTTGGTGTTGTTTCTACTTAATTTCAGGTTAATATGTTCGCCATCATGTATAGAATGCTCTTGTATGGTTTTGGAACTGGAACCTGTCAATGTTTGTACACATATTTTACTACTACTACGAAGCACCAATTATCAAATGGGCAATCTATATGATCTGACTATGGTTATTGTCGATGTAGTTTTGTTCACTTACGTGCTCATCCCAGCAGCAGAATGTTGTAACTGATCATTTTTATTAATGACCGAGCTGCTGCTCATTTTGCATAACTTGGGCAAAGATGTTATGTGTAATATTTAAGCTCCAAGGAGAGAAGCATGGCTAACTTTGAGTGTTTGTGATCATGTTTGTAATGGCCCTTAAAAAATAACAGTAGGCGTAGTGTTTGTAATGTTTGTAATGTAACAGTAGGCGTAGTGTTTGTAATGGTGGTTAGTTTTCATAGGCTGTATATATAGACGCGTTCATGCTTCTTCTAGTTACAACCAACTTCCCTTACTCTTCTCCAGAATGGCATTGTTCCATTAGAAGTTCTACCCATTGCAGATCTCAGTTTCCAACAAACCTTTTATTTATGCCATTAAGTGTGCTAAAATATTCTGAAATAGGGGATTCGAGATCAAAATTTCTTATGCCATCAGACGCTTTGGTGCCAGGTGTAGTGAACGACACTTGCACATTTCTCATGGTCATGAAATAACCATGGAGGGGCATGGATATACATGCATCCTAAAGGGATTGATTCAAACTAAAATCAGGAAGCTTCAAGTACGACGACGCACAAGCCTTTTCCTTGGAAATATCCAAGGAATGGTTCCAATAAAGCATATAAGAATAGTAAGAACTATTATTTGTTTTGATACCTTTCTTTACTACGAAAAAAAATCATTTTGTTGATCTTATATCATTAAAGCTCTAGAGTTGCCAGCTGAAGGTGTTTCCATACTAGGGCCCCAGCTGATACAAAAGCTGCAGGAAATGACAAGTGCAGATTGCAAGCTTGTAAACGGACAAGGTAACTGAATTTACACAACCATTTCCTCATGAAAATGTTACAAAACGCTCTCAAAAAGAGCTACAGAGGAATTTTTTTGAAAAATTACAGTTAGTACAAGGGCAATGACTAGAAGCAAAGCATATACAAAACACCAAACTATTTGACAATAATATAAACACTGCCTTAGTACACAGTGGAATTACAAACCCACATCAAAAGTTAACAAAGAGCACAACAATCAGAGCTCTGATAGTATGGCAGGAATATAGTGAGAAAGCTCAGCTGTTAAGGATTGAAAACCATTCACGAGCTGAGTATGAAAGTCCTGGTCTTCTTCCCCAATCAATCTAAAATGGACACGTATTGCACGCTTGCATACAGCCATGAACTCTAAAAGCGCAGCAATTAGCTGCTGCAGTTCCTGTGACCTAAGCCTGGTTGCAGGTTCACCAGAGAGAAATGCCGTGCAGACGCTAAGTACTCCACTATTCACCTGCATTCCAAGGTTTCAAGTTCAAAGAAAGTATTCACTTGGGACTTATGAAAGATGATGCAATGGAGGTCATTATATACAATTAGGACAAGTGATAAAATTATAATTAATGGAGAAAAAAGAACACGAGCCAGGCGCAAGAAAGCTTGGTCAGAAGCTATTAAAAAATGGTATCACCTGCATTCCAAGGTTTCAAGGTCAAAGAAAGTTTGTATTCACTTGGACTTTTGAAAGATGATGCAATGCAGGTCCTTATATACAGTTAGGACAAGTGATAAAATTATAATTAATGGAGATAAAGAACACGAGCCAGGCCCAAGAAAGCTTGGTCAGAAACTATTAAAAAATGGTATAATGATGATGAAAATTGGGGAGATAGCCACCAACAGAACAGAATGGAGAGTAGGATTCATGTAGCCTACTCCAAATTTTGAAAAAGCTCATTTTCAGAATTTTGAAAGCACAACACACTAGAATTAAACGAGTTATTTCTTACCTGTACCGCAACACTGCCTTGAAGTATTCTCTGTAAACTTTGAAGCCTGTGTAATTGATCTCCTTCTGAGCTACGAGGTTCTTCCAGCTCATTCCTCAGCGCTGCTGTCCTGGTTTCAATCATTCCGATAGCATTCTCTACTGGTGAGAACTCTAAGGATTCAGACTTAGTAACCACAAGACGATTTACAAGTGCAGGAAAGGAGCCCTCTGTCTGGAGAACAGTACGTCGCTTCCATTGATCTTCTAATCCACCTTGCGTCTTGCCATTTTTAGTGAATGGGGTATCAAATAAAAAACGATCAAAAACCCGAGCTCTTACACCTCCAGTGGATAAAGAGATGATCCTCTCTCTCCTGCTGCCCAAATCCTCATCTTCCATAACTGGGTCCACTGCAGTTATCTGCAGGTAACAGACACCAGGCTGTAATTCCTCTGCGTTTACTTGTCGGGAATCTGGTATTATATGAAGAGTGTGATTGGCATCCATCCTGGATTCATATATGTGACTCAGCTTTTCCATTATGTCACCTAGACGTACATCTCGTGGCTCTCTGTATACATATTCTTTCCTATCTAGCTTACCAAAACGATCACCATAAAATCCAACCCGATAATAAGTGGCATCTGTGAAAGGAATTGGACTTGCTTCCTGCTCCAAAATTGATTCGTAGATGTTTGTGAGGGATGTGTGGCATTTAGCAAGTTGAGCAAATGACCTCCTGCTCTTATAAACAGGGATTATGAGTTCCAAGATGCTCGCACAAAAATGATGTAGCTCAGCCTGTGAAAAGAGCTTATTCGCAAGCTGCAAGTACTTCACAGCAGAATCCACAGTCAGTTTTGACGCACCATATCCTTCTACCTCAGCAGCTGATGCCTCACCAGTCACTGCAGTGCTGACCATTGGGCAAATCTTGCGCAAAGCTGCTACATGATCTCTGCTCCAAACAGCATCATTCCTCCCAACAAGGGCCTATAACAGAAGTCAACTTGATATAAAATACAAGGTCACATAGAGACAGAAGGCAAGAACTCAGTAATTCTGACCTGCATGATCACACCAGCAACAGCAACTGCACATTGAGCAGCTTCAGCCCATGATTGCATCTCTTGATGTGCATCACATAAATGCAGTAACCACATAATGTGAAGATCTGGAACAGGTGCATACGCCATTGCAAGCTTATAAAAGCTCTCAGCAGCTGCATATCTATCAATAGTCATAACAGAAGCCTGTAAAATGACCAGATATGTTATTCCTGCTATGTAACCCACCATGAAGAATCTATGAACTTTAGAAGTTTTTGCTGGTTAAGAAATACTATGAGTCAGTCTAATAAGTTTGTCTGATATCTAACATAATTTACTATTCAAGCAATTGTTATGACAGCTATTGTGATTTGTATCATACACGAAGAAGACGGTTTATGATGATTCCAGTTAGGAGTTGCATTACTGCATCTTTCAACTGGTAACAAGCTTGTGGCTTACTATGTCAGATGTATACTGTCAATTGTATACTTGCAAGCAATGTTACATTAAACACTGGGCGCTTCTAGGCGTCGGACTTGGCGCCCAACGCTTAGTCGCTAGGCGGGCGCCTAAGCGGTTTCTGGGCGTTTTTTTACTTTCTTCATTTAAGTGGTGGTCGATAAGGTTTTGCTGAAGGTCGGAGGAGGTAGTAAATGTGTTCATATTTGAAGGTTAATGAAGTTTGGAGGACGTATAGGCTACGACACATAAAATCACAATCAAGACCTATAGGGTGCAATCCACGTAAGCAGACAATGCTCCCCTAAACGCTCGTAAAATCTAGGTGGGCAGCCTAAATACCGTCTAGGTGCTAGGTGTTAGTTAGGCGACCTAGATACCGCCTAGGCCTAGGCGTACGCCTAAGCGGACTAGGCAGAGGTTTTTTAAAACAGTGCTTGCAAGTCACATGAGCTCTCATCCAGACAAAATAGCATACACAGTGAAGCCTCGTTTGGTACGTGGAAATTGTGATGCCCCACTAATAGTTTCACATCGTGAAATTGACAGAGTTTAAGAAAGTCTAAATGCTAGGTCTTGAGAGTCAAGGTGTAACATTGACTAGTCAATTTTGGCGGTGAATTGAGTCAAACCGTGTGTTACACTCGGTGAGTCCCACGACTAACATCGTACCAACAGGCTCGCAGACCTGGAGCATGACAAACAATATCAAAGCGGCTAGCTAGTCGAAAGTGTGGAACTAAGTGCTATGCGGGGCTAAGTGCTACACCGTCCGAGTGCAGTGGGACTGTGGGAGCCACCTCTAGAACCTGTAGGAACCAACTTTCGAGTCCACATTTGGCGGTGATGCTGGGATGTGCGACTTGTCATGCTGCGACGAGGACGTTGCGTATTAAAGGTGGGGTAATTGTGATGCCTCACTAATAGTCCTACATCGAAAAATCTATAGTTTAAGAGAGTTTAAATAATGGGTATTAAGAGCCTAAGTGCAACATTGACTAGTCAAGTTTAGCAGTGAATTGAGCCAAACTTGCACTCGGTGTGTTCTAGGACTTACATCACACCAACAGGCTCGCGGACCCGAGGCGTCACAAGAATTGAGTGAAGTGAGAATGGAACAAAAGAAGGAATGGAATAAAATAAATATGGGAATGTTCATTCTCATGTTTGGGTGCAATAAGATAATGAAGTGAGAACGAATATATTTAGAAGATATGTACTTAAGTGGGAATGCTCATTTCTTGACAACTCGTTGGGATTTGGGAATGTCTAATCCCACACGAAGGGATGACCATTCCTAGGGAATGGGCATTCCCACTACTAAATAGTATGTGGGATTGAGAAGTGGGAATGTGCATTCTGTTCCACCCCACTCTAGCATACTAGACGAAGCGTAAAGAAATACTGAGGTACATCAGATGTATTCCCAACATAATGATTGCATTTACATTATCACTAATATTAAAATTTCAAATCCTTATGAACAGAGAGAAAAAAAAAAAACATCCGTTTAGCTAGCTATAGATAGCATCATAGCCTCATGCAAACAATCCAAAAAAATACATATCTGGCTTAGAAGACTTCACTTAAAAGTAAAAAATGACAAAACAAATACAGCTTACCAACAGGGCATGCTCTAATCCTGCATCAAGTGCTTGAAGAAGACTGTCTGACAAATGTTTGACTTCTGACCAAGACCAACGGTCATCAGTTGATCCTTCAGAAACTGCCTCAAGTGCACAGGCAGGGAGGCCACAGTCTCTTATAAGCTCCCTGCTCCTATCTTCATCAGCCAACTCTTCCAATGATTTCCTAAGACGTCTAGCTTCACCACTCTCTTCAAGAGATCCGTCTGACCTCATTTGTGTAACTTGTACATCAGACATCAACTCTGACAAGGTAATTGTCAACATCACCCTCAACCGTGTGGTATGCACAAAATAATAAAATGAACTCTGTGGAAAGAAGGAAAAAAAAGATTAAGCTCATGATCTAGCTATTATTTAATGAGAAACATACTAGCTGATTGACAACCTACCCTAATAAGTATTTGCAATCCAATAACAGCCCTTCTCCTGATGGAATCATTACGGAATACTGCAAGTCTTAGAAGATGAAAAGCAACTTGCTTCAAGAACCGGTCATTCTCTCTTGCCATCAGTGTCGCACCATGAAGATTAAAAATATTATTGAACACAGGACACAAAGCCTTCCAAAAGGCCAATGGCTGATTTCGAGAAAAGAGGCTCATCAATATGGAGGTAATGCAATCTAATTTTCCATAGTCAGTAGCAATACTATGGGATGCAGCAGCAACTGAAAACTTTTCAGTCATCTCCAAGACCTGGAGACTAATAGTGGTACTTAAATTCTCTTCCCAGATTTCCTGATTGATTTACGTAAGGTGTTAAAATAACTTCGAGAAAAGATGACAACAAACTTTGTCTAAGCAACACAAGGATAAATACCAGCTTCTGCCTCAATACTGGATGCAAAGATTCCCTCAGTGCCCTGGTTGAAGATCCGATTCTAGAAGATTGAGCCTGTGCAAGAGCTTCCCTTAAAGAATATGGTTGGCTTGGCGAGCTGAATTGAGGACTGACTCTATTCCACAAATAGCCATTTTCAGGAGTTCCATGAGGCTGCAGAGTGAACCAAATTGAATGTTCAGAAGATAGGTAACCATGCAACAGAAGTATTAAACTGACAAGCTTTGAAGAAGTCATTGTTATTTATTTCTATAAAAGTTTAAACCAGAATACTATTCACGTAGGCATATCATTAGGGACCAGTTGCGGAGCCAGAATTTTTTTTCTTTCTTTTTTTTTTGTTTTTTTGTTGGGGGGGGGGGGGGGGGGGGGGGGATAACTATCATATTGTACATCAATCAAAAAGCGATCAAATATGACAAGGTATAACAAATTATCATATACATAAGTAGGTGAAAGAAGAATACAACATAGAAAATTTACAAAAGAAATATTTTCATGAATATTTAAATCATTTCAACATATCCACCTATCATTGAATCAACATGCTTTAATCTTTTAAAGTTTATTTTTAAAAATATATCAATTGTAGTTGGTTTTCTTTCCAAAACCACAAACTACAAAGTATAATTTTTTAAGACCTGACTAATTACCAATACACTATAAATTATACCATTAAGATTACAATTCTCATCCCTAGGCCCAAAACTCTTTTCTATATTTTGAGATTAGTCCAACCAAGAGTAAAAGGAACAATCAAAGAGATTAATTTGAGGAAAAAACTACGATAATTGAGGGACCTAATAGCAATTTCAATGATTCGAGGGACTAGGTCACAATACTGAAGAATTCGGGACCTAATAGCAGTTTCAATGATTTGAAAAGACTAATTTCAGAAAATAAAACATTTAAGGAACTTATATCAAAAAAAACCCCAAACAATTAAATCTGAGGAAGTGTAGCAGGTGGCAGCAGAGAGAAAATGTTCATTCCTCAAAGAAACGGCCAAAAACCTGTAAAGCAGAGAAGAAATGGTCTGTGTGTGTGTGTGTGTTACTATGAATATAACACCCCCCCCCCCACCACACACACACACAAAAAAAAATTATAAAACCCACATGCGCGCGAGCGCGCACACACACATATCCGTGTGTGTACTTTATAAGAAGCTAGGGGGGCCATGGCCACCCCAGTCCCTGCTAGCTCCGTCAGTGTTAGGGACTATGCATGAATTCAATGGCAGTGCATGTCAGTCAGCTGGTTAAAAAACCAGGAAAATAAATTTATACGGATTCTAAAAGCAGTCGAGTGTTCATGAGCAATTGAAAAAACAATAACCGAAAGACAATCATTTATGAGAATTAAACAAATGAATATTGATGTAGAGAAAGCTCTACTATCATATATTGACCAGCTTGACAACCAGAAGAAATTTGACACTACTTTGTTATTTTTAGCACAACTCTTAACTAGTGTCGGAAATGGACGTACAACACCTTGATTTGAAGCTCTTGAAGGGAGACAAATCGCTGATTTTATTTCCTTTAATTATTTTGGTAACATTATGTTATCTACTTAGAAGATTCTTGCCAATAAATACACCACAGATTTCCCAAGTCAGTAACAATTTCTTATTTTAGGTTGAGCAAGTTTGTCTGACTATAACTTCAGTAGACTTCTTGAGTAGGTCTATAACTTTTGGCAGACTTGGATATCATGTCCACCTTGTGAATTTTGATATGGGTGTATCTTCTTCACGGGTGTTATCTTCTTCTCTGGAGAACTTAGTGATCCTCATGGGAGCTTGAGGATAGATGATTCTCATAATAGCTTGATAATAGAAGAGTGCGCAGAGACGCGGATGGCGGCGAAAATGGTCAAAATTAGGAAGCTGGCGATAAGGTTCCGGTTGGTTGACCGAACGACCAAATATATTGGTTGGTAAGGTTTTAAATGTCGGATGTCGAGTTCATGTCGGACGGCTAAAATTCATGTCGGATAGTGAAAATCGAGGATATATTGGGGACATAAAAAAATATTGGATTGCCATATCGGATGATGTGCATATGTATAATATAAATATCATAAATAAAATCTAAACATACTTAATAAATTCTATTATTTAAACATATAAGAAAGTAAATAACTTATGATGCTTAGAGTTGATGTTGAAAGAAAGGTCAGAAAAGAGGAGTCTGATGTTGGCAGTTAAGGAGAGAAAAGATCATCTGATGTTGATGTCGAATAAACAACTCGGAGAAGAGACCGTTGTTGAAGGAGAGAGAGAGAGAGAAGATGAGCGACGAAAATAACTTCGATCTTTTTTTCATTTTCCCTAACTGATCAGGTTTTGTCTTTGGAAGCAATATTAAAACAATCAAGAATTTAAACCCAAACTTGATTAGATAAGCATAACAAAAAAAAGCCAACTAATTTTTCAGATACCGGTCGACCGAAGAAGCACATTCGGTCGACCTAATGATCAGCATTAGTCGACCGAAAACTTGCACCTACAGGATTGATAAATAAGCTTTTTGGTCGGTCGACCGACAAGGACATACCGGTTGACTGACAGGGTTTCCTAGGCCGAACTGGACTCCTGTTTTGACGCGAATCCAAGTGTTTGGCTTCGGTATTTACGATTTTGACATCCACGTTGTTTAACATATAAATAGGGATTGTTTAGGATTTCTAAACATCAGAAAAAAGTTTAGTGAGGATAGAGAAGTTATTCTTTATTCTAGAGAGATTGTGAGAGAGATTTTATAATCTTTTATTCTTCATAATCTAGAGAATGTATTTTCCTTCGCCAAATTGAATTGTTCTTGTGTTTGATGTTTTCTTTTCAAAACTCACCTTTGATAATTCTACGATCAAAGGTGCTCGCATGGCGACTCGTACCAAGTTGGTATGAGAGCGATTAGATCATGTGAAGGGGTATCATGTGTATGATCCTTGATCGCAATACAAGAAGCTAGGCGAGGCTCTTATTTCTTTGGAAGAAGTCCTGAAATCAAGGAAGAAGAAGATGATAGCAAGCAACAATTCATCGAGGCTTATGCGATGGAAAAATAGATCGAGACAATCGGTTCGACCCTCATGAAGCTCGTCGATCTCATCCACGGAGACGAAAAGAAAGGTGAATCTTCGGCGGGGCCCAAGAAGAAACCTATAGAATTCGATGGAGGTAGTGAGAATTTAGATTCCGACGAGGAGATCAAGGCCGTCAAGACTGTTCCACAACAAGAGGATCAGGGTTCTTATCAGAATCTAAAGATTGATTTCAGAGTTGAGATTCTTGTTTATGATGAGAGTGTCGACGTCGAGAGGCTTGATAATTGAATCGAACGTATGAAGACCTATTGCACTCTTTATGACTATTCGTCAAAGGAGAAGATTGTTTTTGCGACAATGAAGCTTTACAGGCACGCGTTGACGTGGTGGAAATCCTACTGCAAATAGTAGAAAAAATCGGTATCGTGGAACAGGTTCAAAGAGCTATTGAGGAAATAATTCTATCCGGTGGGATTTCTTGAAGAGCGTTGGTACAAGTGGTACGGTTTGCGTCAAAAATTTAAGCAGACCGTTCAAGAATACACTACAGAGTTCTAGCAGCAGACGATGGTCCTCAACATTGCGACAGAGGAGTACTCTATTTTCATGAAGTACAGGACGAGGCTGAACGAATACATCCGAAAAGAGATGAAGCTATTCACGCTAGAGTCGATTGCGGAGACAAACGTGAAGGTTATTGCTATTGAAGGCAAGCAGAAGAAGAGCAACGAAATGAAGGAGGATGCCAAGCAAGCTAGAGGCAAGTCTAGTGGCTCTCAACCTAAGAAGGAGAAGAAGAAGGGTGATCCAGATAAAGCAGAATTGACTTGTAATCACTGCAAGCAGACAGAACACGTTGTTGATCAGTATTAGGAGAAGTATTCTCATCTCAAGCCGAAGGGATTAAAGAAAGAGAAAAATACATACGTGATAGCTCAAAGTCCGAAAGAAATCCCAGGAATGACAGAGCCTAACAACAGTCTTAACCTTATGGTAGGAAAGCAGGCCGCGAAGAAAGACGAAGACCCCCAGGAGCAGCTCTTTGTTCTCAAGTTGCAGGTGAAGACCAGCTTAGTTGATGCTATAGTTGATCCAGGAAGTCAGAAGAATTTGATATCTGAGGCCTTGGTTCAGAAGCTAGGTCTGAAGACGATCAAGCATTAAAAGCTCTATTTTAAAAGGTGGATTCAGAAGGTGGGACTGGGTGTAGTTAATCAATGTACTTTCAAATTTGTACTTCACGAGTCATATTGACGAGGTCACGTGCGACGTCGTTCCGTTGGATGTTTGTCAGGTTATACTGGGCAATCCTTATTTGTGGGATAGGTACATAGTCTACGACAGACGGGCCTAGAAATACACGTACCAAGGACGACGAGCAGTTTGTATTTCGTTCGACGTATCTTCTATAGGAGACGAGCTTGCTAACGGTGACTCAGGCAAAAAGACTAGTGACTGCAAGCAAAAAGTTTGTCTTATTATGCATTAGGCCTTACGAGGAACAACTGCGTAGAGTATGCTTGACTACCTTGAGCAAGCTTCAGAAGAGAGATTTTGACAGGTTAAAGACCAAGTATGCGGACTTATTTTAAGAGATCACTGGACTACTGCCGAGACGAAGTGTAGAGCACGAGATTATATTGACGGGAGAGTTCTTTGCCAAATATAGATATTTACCGCACATCCGTACAGGAGTCCGAGGAGATAAAGAGGCAAGTTCAGAAGCTTCTGGAGAAAGGAGTGATAGTACCAAATTGTTCGCCTTGCGCGTCGCCAGTGGTGTTGGTGCCCAAGAAGGATGGAGGCTAGCGCATGTGTGTGGATTATCGGGCGCTCAACAAAATAACGGTAAAGAATCGTTACTCACTACTACTGATCGATGATCTTATGGACCAGTTAAAGGGAGCGAGGTTCTTCATAAAGTTGGATCTTAAGTCTGGTTATCATTAGGTGAGGATTCGGGAGGATGACACTTGAAAGACTGAGTTCAAGACCAAACAAGGCTTGTTCGAGTGGTTGATGTCGTTCGGGTTATGCAACGCTCCAGCGACCTTTATGAGGCTTATGAATGATTTATTGTGATCTTTTATAGAGGATTTTGTGATAGTTTATCTCGATGATATCTTGGTGTACAACAAGATCTGGGAGGAGCATCTAGTTCATATTGAGAAGATGTTTGAAATGTTGCGGGACGATCAACTGAAGCTCAACGAGAAGTGTGCATTTGGGAACGACGAGTTAGTATATCTCGGCTTCATTGTGGGAAAAAGCCAGCGAAGGATAGATCCAAGCAAGGTTAAGGTTATCACGAAGTGGCCGACACCTAGGACAATAACGGAGGTGCGAAGCTTCATGTGGGCTTGTCAGTATTTGTTTATTTGATATATTTCTACTTATGCAGCACCCTTACATGGCCTTCCTAAGACAAAGGTTCAGTTCGAGTAGGGTAGGACGCATGAGGAGGTTTTTTAGTTACTATAGAGGAAGATCTTAGAGGCACCAGTATTGACATTACCTAACTTACAGAAGACCTTCGAGGTAGAAACTAACGCTTCTAGCTATGCTATGGGCGCTTTGTTGATACAGGATGGGAAGCCGGTGGAGGATCATTTTGAGATGTTTATGGGTGCTATTTAGAACTGTCCTACTTACGATAAGGAGTTTATGCGCTCTACCAGACGATCAAGCATTGGAGAGTGTACTTGTTGGGTAAGGAGATGGTTGTGCACTCGGATCACAAGCCATTGGAGTTTCTACATGTCCAGTCAAAGCTGCAGCAGGCACGACACATGAAGTGGATGTCCTATTTGATGGTGTTCAACGTCGTCATTAGGTACAAGAAGGGGACGACTAACAAGTTGGCCGATATGCGATCTTGACCGCCAGTGAGAGCTTTGTTGGTGACGACGCGTATTCAGTCATTGGTTCCTTTGGAGTATGTACAGATGTACACATCCAGCAGAGATTTTAACAGTGTGTTCGAACAGGTGAAGACTGGTCGGAAGGGGGAGTATGAGCTCAGAACAGATGGTTTGTTGTATCATGGGACATCACTTTGCATTCCGGAGGATGGCGATCGGTTGCAGTGGATTAGAGAGGCGCATACTTCACGTGTGTAAGGTTATTTTGGGATTCAAAAGACGCTTCTCAATCTATAACGTCATGTCTTTTGGCCAAAGATGTTAGAGTATGTTACCAAGTATGTTGGAGGGTGTAAGCTATGTCGCATATCTAAGCCTTCAGTCTTCTAACAGAAAGAGATGGTTGTATCTACCGTTGTCAGTGCCTTCTAGACTGTGGACGAGTATTTTTATGAATTTCTTAGGAGGGTTGCCAACGACCAAGCGCGGGCATGATTACTTGTTCGTTGTGATGGACCGGTTCAGTAAGATGATCTTGATTCCTTGCAAGAAGCTTGTGACAAGAAATGATGCAGTGCAGTTGGTCTTTGAGCATGTGTGGAAGCACTTTGGTTTGTCGAGCTCGATTATTTCGGATCGGGATAGCAGGTTCCTCGGGCATTTTTGGGATTCTTTATAGAGTTTGATGGACATCAGATTGAAAAAGAGCACGACCTTTCATCCACAAACAGACTAGCAAACAAAAGTAGTCAACCGGACTATGATTCACATATTACGGGGGCATAATTTCAGGCATCCCAAGATTTGGGATGAGAGTTTACCATATCTTCAGTTTGCTTTCAATTGGGTGATTTATGTATCTTCGGAGAAGCACCGTTCGAGACGTGTTACGGGTTCTTACCTCCAAGTCCGTTCGATTTAATATTCTTTAGTGGAGTTACGGCCAACGGCAAAGAAGGGAGTGAGAGACAAAGGACTCAGCAATTTCTGGAGAAGATTGCGCAGATTCATGCTACGGTTGAAGCACAGTTGAAAAAATCATAAGCAAAGTACAAGACAAATCATGATCAACATCGAGTTCCTTGTAATTTTGGCAAAGGTGACATGATGTGGCTAAAGTTAGGTAAGGAGTGGCTAAAAGGAGAAGGAAAGAAGTTGAAGCTTATACGATATGATCCTTTTCGGATTCTCGATCAGATCGGTGATAACGCCTTCAAACTGGATTTGTCACCTTACTTAAGCATGTGTTCGGTGATCAATCCCGAGTACTTGAAGTTGTTCGAGCCTCCATTGCTAGAAGATAAGGATGACGATAAAGTGATATTGTCGCATGTTGAAGACTTGTGATTTGATAGAGAAGAGCCGCTGAAAGAACATTGTATTTTAGAACGGAAGGTGATTACGACGAGACGAGAGACGATTAAGCCGTTTTGGTTGGACGTTAAGGTCAGGTTCCTAGCAAGGCTAAGTGGTTTAACAAAGAAGGAGCTCGAGAGTTTTCTTAGCTGAATTTCTAACTTGAACGAGACTTCAAGTTCCTAAAAGGGGAGACATGATACGGGTGTATCTTCTTCACGGGTGTATCTTCTTCTCTGCTTCGGGAACTTAGTGATAATCATGGGAACTTGAGAATAGATGATTCTCATGGTAGCTTGAGAATAAAAACGTGGGCGGAGCCGCAAATGACGGCAAAAATTGTCAAAATCAGAAAAACGGCAAAAATCAGGAAGCTGGCAAAAATCAAGTAGCACATTCGGTCAACCTAATGATCAGCATCAGTCGATCGAAAACGTGCACCTACAGGGTTGATAAATAAGCTTTCTGGTCGGTGGACAGACAGGAGCATACTGATCGACCGACGGGATTTCTTGGGCCGAACTGGACTCCTGTTTTGACGTTCATCCAAGTTGTGTTTGGCTTCGATATTTATGATTTTGCCATCCATGTTATTTAACATATAAATAGGGATTGTTTAGGGTTTTTAAACATCAGAAAAAAGTTTAGTGAGGATAGAGAAGTTCTTTATTCTAGAGAGATTGTGAGAGAGATTTTGTAATCTTTTATTCTTCATAATCTAGAGAATGTATTTTCCTTTGCCAAATTGAATTGTTCTTATGTTTGTTGTTTTCTTCTCAAAACCCACATTTGATAATTCCGCGATCAAAGATGCTCGCACGACGACTCGTATCAAATTTAAACGATATTAGCACATTCTGAATTATCTCATGTAGCCGAGAGCTCAGTTCCTATTGTTTTTTGTGCTTCTATTTAAACATTAACAAGGAGAAATCTAATTAAGATGTCTTAGTGCGAGATAAAACAAGTTAATCTACTTAAACACAACCAATCTAATTAAACATAACAAGATAAGTAGCTTCATGGTATATTTTTCTTGGGGTACAGCAAGAGAATAAGCCCGCTAGAATAATAGCAAAACGTTTGATATGTGACAATTTGTTAGAACCAAATATGGTTCTCCCATATGCAATCTTTTAGATCCTCTCGTGGTTTCATAAATTGTTATGGCTAGATTTCTTGATGTTGGGCACGTCATGGTATCACAGAGTAAAATGAGGATGATACACCCATTAATAACCGTGTTGACTAGTTTACCTTTTCCCATCAATAAATAGGAACCAATATGATTAGTTGGACCAGTTAGGCATAACCAAATGAAACCAGTATGTTTATTCCAATAAGGCAACTTATAGATTAGATTTTTCGCAGGCATAACCAAATTATGCGGTCTGATGAAACATAAATGATACAAGGGTAAGAGTCGCCAAGGCAAATCCATTCTCATCATTGTTTTTAACGCATGTGCATCGTGGATTTACCATGTGGATCATTCATTACGACAGCATGTGCAGTTTATCATACAAAGTTTGTTCCTCTTCTGTATTTGAACATCAGCAGCATGTGTTTAATTAAGAGAAAGGTAAATTTCTTTTCTGATGTCTTTCTTAATATTCAGATTAATAGGAAACAATCAGAAGCCTATAAACCCTGATGGCAATTGGAAGTATCTTTTTTTTCTTTTTTGGTTCTTTTTGAAAAAACACCTATAGAAGAACATCCAGCAGTTAAATCAATAGCAAGATAGAACAATTTATCAACTGATCAAGCAGAAAAACCTGTACCCTAACTTCTTGACGAGAAGCCTCAGATAGATAGGTATTGATTGCTGGAGACAGTCGATCAGAATACTTTGGAGAAGCAGGTCCTTCAGTGTCAGGGCTACGAGAACTGCAGCTCATGAGTAAACTGTCTGCTGCTTTTTTATGCTGCAATATGGTATTAAAACCAAAAGAAAAACCAGTAATGAAAGAGTCAATGCAGATGAAATACCATGCATGATGCTTCATCAGAGCCACAAAAAAAGAAAATTGAATTTGAACACATATACTCTCTCACACACATATACAATCCATGCACACTCTCAGAGAGAGAGAGAGAGAGAGAGAGAGAGAGAGAGAGAAAGAGGGGAGGGAGGAAAGCAAAAAGCTAAAGCAAGAGAAAATTACATTGTTTAGATCAACAACACAAACAAGCAACGAAATCCGGATTGCTTTAAAAAGCAAGGAACTTGTAGCATCAACAAATCAATGACAAGAATTTTCTATTGCATATAATGGACTTTCCTTCGGATACTGACCTCAAAGAGAATAAGACATTCTTCTAGGAGTTTGAAAAATAATCTGGTCCGAGCAATGCTTTGTTGCCATGCCTTGACAAGGGTGGCATCATCTAGATTCCTTATGATTTGCATAACGACAACCAACACTTCACGTTTTTCAATAGAATTTAGATTATAGAATACTGGCATTTCATCAAGTATCTGGAGTAGAAAATCAGATAAAGCTTAGAATATGTTTGTCAACAGTCAGAATATGGAAAATAAGAACATAGAGACAAAAAAAAGGTAAATATATCGAAAAAGCAGATCCTAATTATCTGGAGTGTTCGAGAATAATTTCATGTCATTCATACCGACAATCCACTGCCTTTGTTGTGATTCCTGTGCATCAAAATGATTTCAATGTTTCCAGCTCTTTATGTTACAGTCAAACTCATTCATTACAGTTAAGACTTATCTACACAATTAACTAGCAACATACTCATTTCATCCTTCATCCCTTCTTTAGTACACATCCACAGTTCCACCTTATCATTTACATTTAGTTACATCCAGATAAGGTATTTGAGGACTCTTTGTCATTCAATACAATAAAACAAGAACAATGTTTGCATAATTGCTCCACTAAATTATACTTTTTTGAGTATGCTGTCAAATGTGGACAGGGATCACTTTTATGGTGTAATATTGAAAAGATGACGGCAAAAGAATATAATATGATGTTAAACCTGAACCATGTAATTGAGGTCTCTTTATAACTTGTGATAAAAGAAAGGTACACAAATTTTCGACAAGATTATACCCTTCGGCAATTTCAGGAAAACTACAACCACAGTGGATCCAACAGGAATCAGTTCTATAACACAATCTTGACCAAAGCAAAGCCTAAAACCATGCTTGACTTCTGGAGAGCCAAAAATGTAATTATTGTAGTATAGGACAAAAAGTACGTGAAAATTTTGAATTTCTTCTTTTATTATGACTTAAAGAAAAGTTGAACAGAAAATGTTTAAAATGAAAATAATTAGCAATTTCTGAAAGACAACACATGCTATACCAAAATTTACAAAGAATATTGAACCGAAAAAGCAGAAGTTCACGTTGCCAAGAAAGTTTTTTAAATGACCTAATAATGTCCAAAAAATAACTTTTAATAGTAGTTGCTACTCTCCCTTGGTCATGACTCATGGCAATCAGCTCACGTACTATATTAGAATAGGAAAGGATCTATCTTCGGATAATGATGTACTCACCGACAAGGTGATTATCAACATCATTGAATAAAAAACAGCTGGAGAAAAGAAGAAAGATCTTCAGGTATAGGAGAGAAAAAGAGTGAGCCAAACAAATGAGACAACGACAATCTGTTTGGTTCTCTAACTTCTCCCTCAGTTCCACTTAATTTATAAACAAAGTGAAATATATAATGCACGCCAGAACGCTTTGGTTCTTGACCGCTCTTTTTAAGGGGGAAAACCTACATGTTTTGGGCATTTCCCCCCTAAATGCTAGTACAGGTGCGCTGTCACATCATAAAACACACCTTGGTTGTGTAGTACATTATTTGCTACAATGTTATAATGTTTTTTGAGGTCCAGATACATAAAAACTTGAGAACTTTAGAACCTAATTCATTTCTACTTCAAGATTCAATGATAAATAAATTGCACACCAGTAACTAACATGTGTCTATGTAATAGATGTTTTATTGCTGTTCAAGGGTTATACTTCTCAACTTTCACTAACAGAAAGAAACGAAAAAGAAAACAAGGCAATAAAGATACTCAAAATAAGGAGGGACTACTTTCAAACAATTTTGCCTCTATATTTCATCATGATGCAAGTAATTAATCTTCAACTGGAAAAAAGTCAGTTACACAAACATTTCAAAGGATGTTAAATCTATCAAGAAGAACTTTGCAGGTTTCCATATAAGACTTTAAGTACCTGTCCGATAAGAGGAAAGTACAGCTGAGCAATATATAATTTATCCTCACGCTTCTGGTAGCGAGAATCAAATTCATGCTTGCACATGAGGACTACCAAGATGCGAGCAGCCTATATTGACCAAAAATAGTAAGTAGAGAAAACTAAGGATAAATTTACACATCAATTGAGCCACTTTGAGCTACTTAAGAACATACAAAACCTTCAAAACAAATAAACCAAAATTGCTCAGCAGAAATGATGTCGTGAGAATTATGGACTCACTTTTGCACGCTGAGATAAATCATCATGATCCCATGTGAGGAAAAGCTCTTGAATAAGAATAGATGAGAGATAATTTCTGCAAAATAAAAGAAGGTTCAGCATGATAGCAACTAAGAGAAATGCACATCTTCAGTTAAGTATTTCAGTACATAATGTTTAAACATTAGCGGAGACATACTCCCCCCCCCCCCCCAACCAACAAAACAAAAACAAAAACAAAAAAGAAAAGGGAAAAAACCCCAAAAACATGCCTCTTGCATAGAAGATAATATGTTAATAGTGAAATGCCTCCGAGTACTAATCCTATAAACTACTACAGAATTCAAAACTATTTTTAAAACGACAATACTAAATAAATTATTTCTCCTGGAAACTGCATAAAATTATAGCGCAGATACCCATCAAACTATGGTATTTCAAAATTTCCCTTTTGTTTGTTTATGTAGCTACCCAGTACCCACAAACTTAGACATACTCCCAGAAAATATTTTCCATATAACCTCCCTCCAAAAACATGCCACATGCAAAGAATATGTTAACAGTGAAAATGACCTTGAAAAATTAATCCTATTAACTACTATTATGTTCAAATTAGTTTTAAAATAACAGTAGTAAATAAATTACTTCTCATGGAAACTGCATTAAATTGTTGATGTTTCACATATATACCACCTCAAACCTACGGTAATTTTAAAATTAACCCCATCATATTTGCCAATTTACCCTGAAAATTAATTCATTATGCACTTGGTTTGCTAATGAAGTTCTAAAAGGGCAACATGACATTTGACAGAACACTGGTAAGAGAATAATAATGTTACCTAGTTAACGTAAACAAGCCTTAAATAGTTGTATGCATGAGAAGGAAAAAAAGATAAATAATAGATGGATACAAAGGGAGATGTGCAATCATATATCACAGGCATGCACAGCAGATAATAAACAAGCTACTCTGAGCTGTAATAAGAGTTTAAAACCTCAAAAAATTAGGATTCTTTTTAACTTCATACGATTCTGCAAGTAGAAAGGCGTTCTGGTCAAGTGTTTTTCACCTATCTGAAGGATCTCGCCCTGGCATTTCCACAAAAAGATCGTGATCACATATTATCTGCAAAAAGGTAAGCTTGCATTCGTGCAACACAGATTGGCAGACCCCAGCAAATTTGTCCATGTACAAGGACACCTGCAAGGAGAAAAGGAAATCATTTATTGTGAAAAAAGTTGTCATTTGTTATTGGTTGCAGCAGGGAGAAGAAAAGGTTGAACACCCTATCTGAGGACCTATTTCATGACCTCACAATTGAGTTGAGTGGTGGACTACATGGATTTTCCTTCACATTGGATTGTATAAATTGAAAGAGTGAGTTATGTTTAATTAAATTGAGCGACCAATAATTATGTTTGCTCATAAAGGACAATCTTTACTTAAGCATCAAGAACATATATCAAAAGCTATTAAAAAGGGTTTAGATGCCAACAAACAGATAATTAAACTGTCTATAGAACTTTTAGGTTAAATTTGAGAAATCCACACAAGGTTTGGATGGTTGACGATACTCAAGGTTTTAAAAGTGATACTTGACTCCCCTCTCTTCTAATTTCATAAAGGCTAATATTTGTTTAATCATCTAGAACCCACATCCAAAGCTGTTAAGAATTGGTGTAAATGCTGCCTAAGACCCTGTTTGGATTGAGGGGAAGGGAGGGTAACTTTTAACCTTGTTTGGGAAGTAAATATAGCAAGTTAATAGGGGTGACGGGAGGTGAAATGAGGTGAAAAAATACCATGATTTTTTCTCTCCTAATTTGGGGTGTAATGGAGGTGAAGGTAAAGAGGGGGAATACAACAAATATAGAGAGACATATTTACCCCTAGCTAAGATCAAAATCCAACGGCTAAAATTTGCTCACAGAAACCCCACAGTATAAACTCTCGTTGCAAGCGAATTTGCTCACAGAAACCCCACAGTATAAACTCTCGTTGCAAGCGCCTCCGCCATTTCTTCTTCCTCCGCTTCTCATCTCGCCTCCGCGTCTTCTCTCCTCCGCGTCTTGTCTCGCCTCAATCTCTCGCCTAGTTTGAGTAAGGGTTTTGATTTTTCAAGGTAAGATTTTCTCTCCTGTTACTGAACCTGCAGGACTTGGCCTTGGATAACTCAACGAAATTGAAATGAGTGAAAGCGGTTAAAGCTTTTGTTCTTCCTCCCTTCTTTGAAGGGGTCTTATGTCAACTGTGGAGAGAATATGAGCATAAATAGCTACTTTGTGGAAAAAAGGTTTTATTTTATTTCTCCGTAATGCTTCATTGGAACATTTTTCACGGGGATGTTGGTTAATGAGGTTGATGCTCGATAGTATTAATAAACGCAATTTGTTTTTTAGTTTTTGTTGATGAATTTACCTTGTATCATCCAAACTGAGCTTATTTGATGAAGCAATAAAATTTGTAAAAGACCGTTCAAAATTGGGGATTTTTGCAGCTTGAATGACAAGTGTTATAGTAGTTTTGTGTTCATGTAAGTATTTGAGTTTCATCATTTAGTTGGTCGTTGCTCTGCTAACTGGGTATATTTGCAAAAGAAGAGTGAAAATAAGCTTTGTATTGTTTTATAGTCTCATTGATAAATATATTGGTTATTATTTTTCATTCCAATTATACTCCAAATTTTTTCATATTTATCTGATTTGTGTTGATTGTGGATATACAATGTGGAAGGAGATGATGACAATAATAATATATAGCAATAGATGCATATTTGATATTTAATTTCTAACAACAATATAACTTAATAATATGTGAGGGTATTTATGTTAATTTCTAACAACAATATAACTTAATAATATGTGAGGGTATTTATGTCAATTTATATACATTCTCTTCTCTTCTCTTCCCTTCCCGTTATTACACTTTCCAAACGGGGTGAAATAACTTCCCCTTAATTCACCTTACTTGTTTCCCAAACAAGTTTTAGGTATTTATGTCAATTTATATACATTCTCTTCTCTTCCCGTCCCGTTATTACACTTTCCAAACGGGGTGAAATAACTTCCCCTTGATTCACCTTACTTGTTTCCCAAACAAGTTTTAGAAATTCACTTCCCTTCCCTTAACTTAACTTCCCCTAGGTTCCCCTAACTTCCCTTCTCCCTCCAAATTCAAACAAGCCCTAAGGTTTTCATGTTGGCAGAGAATTACTGTTAAGGTTTCAAAAGTGACACCCCCCTACCCCCCCTCTAATTTGTACAAAACTAAATTGGATGTAAAAGCTGATATCATAGGATATGACAATTATATGCACTCTCATATAAGCATATATATGACTACTATATTGAAAATTAATGATTACATCAAAATATTGATGATTTGTTTTGACTAAAAATCGAAAATGAAGGGGGGGTTCACTTTTAATACCTTAGGGGATTTCTGTCAATCATGCAAATCTCTAGGGATTTTCTATACCTTACCCATGCTTTCACAATATTCTTGAACAGAATGGTCTATCTAGCCATTCACTGAACATCAAACACCATCATAATAAAGTTCGTTCTTCATAAATGCATCACCCAAACGGCATAAGCACCATATGCCATAGATTCTGCATGCAGTAGGTGGTTCTCAGTATATTGAAAATTGAGGGCACATTTGGAAAATCCAGAAGGTTTGCTCAACCTACTGAGGAAGTATTTAGAGTAACAAATAAAACTCCAACTGTGCATACAGATAGGAACCTATATTTAATTTGATGTATTTATTAACGTACATATGTACTCAAGTATGTGTGTACCTATGTATGTACGTATGTCTGGATGGATGTATATACACAGTAGTATAAGCAACAACATTTACAGTTTTAATCTCCTACTTATAGTATACGATGAAGATCAACAAAAATGTTGCTTAGTTACTCATACAGCAAAAGAACATACTGATAATCAGTAAAAGAATGAGGTAACATGTAACGAAAGTGCAAGAGCATCATCAGACTGGGTTAATTTAAGTAGCAAAAATAATTATACGTATATTATGTATATTTCAAATCACTAAATAATTTCTGTTGATAAAATAAGAACATGCTTAAAATAAATGCTGGTTACATTTGCATGAAGCAAAGGACATACTAATAATTAGTAACAGACAGACAAAGTTAACACAAGTGCAAAGGAATTTTTCAGGTTGGATTAATTAATGTACCAGCTCAAACACTTGGCGTGGCTCAATGATTGACAACAGATCATAACAAAAGAAGGCAAGACTGCTGTTTAGACGTTTTGCCAAGCTTAAACCCTTCTTGCAGCGTTCATGAACCTCCGTCAACAGGCAATCATAAAGCTGCATGATACAGCGGAATACACCTTCTTTCAACTGCAATGGTGGAATATCTTCACCTATACAAAAGATCTTGCCAACTTTAATACATATGCTAACCATATTAAACTCAGGTGATGACTATTTGTTATGCATCAACAGCGACAACGGTAGCATTAATCCCTACCTAATATGAGGTTATCATATCTTAATTATTGGCTTTACACTTGAGCAAACCGAAAATCATCCAAGTACTTTATGAAACAATTCTAATAATCATAAATAATAGGGCTTACTATAACTAACTATTTTCACTTCGGTTTTGGATCATCTCTTTCTATTCCAAATATAGGGGAAATGAATGTGAGCTCTCAAATGAGAAAAAAGAGGGGGTTTTGCCTTAAAACTCAAAGTTTTAACCTGATTTATTTTTAAACCCAAATAGTTTCATATGTGCCTATGAACCCAATTAACTATGTGTATTTATCTTTAAACCCAATCCTCCAAACGCAATACATACTTATGTGGTCCCTCAAAAAAATTTGAAAACCCCAAATTTACCCTTCATCCTCCGGCTGCATCCTCCCATAGCTGCTCCATCCGAACCTCTTCACCTCCAAAATCCTAACCTCCTCCTCCCTAATTCCAAGATATCTACCTCCATCTCCTGCACCACCATGCAATCCCCTCTCCCGGCACCACCGCCTCCACTGTTGTCTACTGTGACCCGGTCTTCAACTTTTCCACCGGCCCCGTGGCCCTCCCCGAACCATCCTCCTCAAAGCCCTATCCAACCTCTTCGACTTCTGGCATGTCCATCACGGGGATTTCCCATCGTGGCAAAAAATTTGACTCCATAATCAAGAAGACCAAGTCCGATATCCGTCACCTTCTCTCGATCCCCTAAAACTACTCTGTCCTATTCCTCCAGGACGGCGCCACCGCCCAGTTCGCCACCATCCCAATTGACCTCCATAGGATCCAGCAGCTATAGAGAACAGAGAAAGGTGCCTAGAGAACAAAGAAGGGAGTTTTGAACAAAATTTTGAGGATGAACTGTGGAGAAGACGGATTGTAAGGGCTTCGTTCTCTCTGATGCAACCTGATTCTTGCAATCCCCCAATTTACTTTGGTTCTCT